GGGCCTTCGATAGCGCTAAGTACTTGTCTTTCGGTTTGACGCTCCGCGGACACGTCAGATGAGGGGGAGAGGAAGTGGTGGCGGAGGTGACGAGGATGCAAATTAAGGAGGTACGCACAGTCCACATTTCATCTTTTCTGTACGATCCAATGTATGAGCGATGGAAGTGTACCATAAAGGATCGAGAAACGATCTCGCTCGCCGATCGTAGTACCCAACAATGTGTGCTTCATGTGTGCGCCGCAATCTACAGCTCCTCGATAACTCCCTAGGCTGTCAGCGTGGTGGGGTGTACTCTTGCGAGAAACGATTGTTCAATTAATAAAACGCAAATTTGTTTGGCATAAACGAGAAAGTTCGAGTTGGAGTTTGGTAATCGTCCCGTTACACGATATATCCTAATTGACGTGTTCAATGTCTCTGCCGTTGCTAACAATGGCATTTTGTCGTTTGCCTTTACTCACGCGAATAAAACATCAATGTCTACTCCCTGGATTATTCAACGGGGCTCGGCAACATGAGCCGGTGAAAAAAGGAAGTGGCAAAAGTGGCAGTTTGTCCGAGCGCGAGGGAAAGGCGACGATACATAAAGACGAATCCCCACTAGCGAGGCATTATTTATTGGTGACTACAGTGGACAGTGACGATAATCGATACGCGGATGAGCGAGTTGACGAAGACACCAAGAAGCGGAAGAGAGAGAGAGAGAGAGAGGAATAGAGACGGAGGAGCTTGTTCTTTGCGCGGAGGAGCCATGACCGTGGCGGCTACATAAGGTGTATCGAGCAACAAGGACTAACGGCCTTTAATTAATAAAGTTACGTGAACAACTCTCAAAGTCTTCCTGCCCCCTGCACCCTCCTTATCCCCCGCCTGCACCCCCGCCCGCCTGGATAGCAGCTATTTCCTTCGCTTTAGAAATTCTGGTATTTTCTCCCACTCTCCCCCCCCCCCTCCCAGTGCTTCGTCGTACTTCGGTCCTCCGTAAAGGCCTACCTGCGAACTTGTAACCCTTTATTGGATTAAGAAAGCGCCTTCCGCGCTTATCTTGCAGGGATACTTCTCCGCGAATTTTCACTCGATACCGATAATTGTGCTCATATCTTAAATGTCGTTTAACGGACAAATGTCAGAGAGACATTTGAATGCTCGGACGAGATTGTCTCTCGACGTAGCAATGGCTGGGTATATACCGCGAGAGGTTTGCGAGACATATCGCGTTAGGTCGCATGTACCCAATGGGTAACGTCGATACGAGATAATGCTATCGGAGCATGACTAAATATTGATGTTAGACTCCGCTGGCAACAGGTGTTACCGCATTTCTTCTGTTTTTCATCTTATATGCTGTTACAAGAAACGTATACGCTTACGGTGAGCGCGGATGCCGGCGAAGGAACAAATACATGTTTGATCAAACAGCGGCTAATTTTCAGCAGGATCGTGGAACCGAACGAGAGAGGGGGGGAGGATCATCACACTGCACGATCGTCCGTTCAGCAGGCAAAAATGCGCAGGGATTACGCGTACTTTTGGAGATTAGGCAAACGTTGCTCGCGAGAGGGAACGAAACGTCCGCCTTGGTCTGAATAAATCGCGCGTATGTGTGCGGAAAGTTAAAATTTCATTTTTAAGCACGTCCGCGGAAATTTGAATTTACTGAAATTTATACGCGCAGTTCTTAAGAGACGCTCTTATATACACAGAGCGTGCACGTATTTTACAGTCACGTGTAAACGTCCCGAATTTCTAATACGTACGGATGTCGTGGCTCGCGTATATATATATATATATATATATATATATATATATATATAATATAACGTCGTGTACATATACGTACACACACAACGCGGATATCTACGCCGTTGCTAAGTAAATCACACACAGTGCATATACACGCGTGTAATGCGTAAACGTTAGCCGTGCAGTACGCTTGTGGGGGGAGAGGGGGGAGAGGGGGGCCCTGCCACGTGCATCAAGTCGACGGCGACATTTTCACGTGCGTTTGCACGACGTTGCGCACTTTATACGCGCGGTACGTAATAGAAATGGACGTATAGTATATATATATATATATATATATATATATATATATATATATACGTTGAACGCGCTGTACACGCAGGACGACGGAAGAATCATTCCGCACATCGTTTATTGATCAAACGTCTCGCATACCGCACGTACGCGCCGCACGTGCTATGCGTTTTTCATGATCCGAGGCCTGTCAATCTTTCCGCATTACGGGTATCCGAGAAATCTCGTTGAAACGCGAGCCTCCTCGAAAGTTGTCGAAAGTGGAAGATATCTTCCCGCTTGTCGCACCACATAAAAATCTCGGGAGCCCGGTTTTTCGGTAATTAATCGACTCGCGCGCGAGATCGCGATACACATTTTCTCCTCATTGACGCGCCGGCGCCAAGAGCGGAAAGGGTCTTTTCAAAGTGCGCTACAACTACGGAGAGTAGACGAAGACCAACCCTCCCCTCCTCCCCCGTTCGTCCGGAAAAGGAAGCACCACCCGTGGATTGCCAGACTTCAAGAATTAAACCGCGTTCTCGCTGCCAACACCGTGACGTCTTGCTTGCACTACGGCGCATCGGCCGTCGTGCTTCTCGGGAGGATCTTCCGGCGAGTTATGGCTTGCTAAAGAAAATTGACTTGAATCTACGCCAGGATAATAAAAGCGCATAGCTGCGAGGAGAAGCGCGGGCGAGAAAAATGAAGAAACAATCCCGACACCATGGCCGATACCGGCGGAGCGGTGGAGGAGGTCGTTCGGGGCCCGCAGGACACAGCCAAGGAGAGATCCCTCTCGTTATATAGATTATAGATCGTGACTGTCGGCCCCAATTTTAATAAATATCTATTAGTACGCTTCGGAGCCTTGTATCGCGAGCCCGGTATTACGAGTGATATTAAACGCGACGCGAATACTGCGCTATTTTGTCCCGAACGTTTGGCCCCATACTGCACGCTCCGCGCACCCGGTATATTTACGCTGATGTCTATGCAACGGAAGAAACGCCGCGAATACGAAGACACGGTTCTTCCGATACATTTAGTATCTTAATCCTGCAATAATAGGCACTGCGGAGGCGTTACGTGGCTCTTGTAACTTAAAATATATCTTAAAATACGTAGCATTAGCCAAAAGGGGTGGATTCTGCGCGGGAAGTGAGTCAAAATGGCAGAGTACATTCTGTTTAGAGAAAGAGAGAGGGGGGGAGAGAGAGAGAGAGAGAGAGAGAGAGAGAGAAAAGAGGGAGAAAGAAAGAGACAGAAAGAGAGAGAATTTCGTTCTCTGAAGAAAGGAAAAATTCTTTAATCCTTTAACGTCCGACTTTTTTATAAGTGTCTTAAGAATAAAATTTGAGTTTTTTTGAATTGAGACTATAAGTAGTGATAATAAAAAAAATATCAGAATTTTATATCTACGAAAAACTACCTTCTGAATAAATGAGTACATGAAGTTTCCGCTCTTCGTTTGTTGGTTTCGTTAGTTTGGTTTTTTCTATCGTTCGTTTTTTGTTTATTGGTCAATATGACTTGGATCCTAAAAGCATATGCGAAATGAGCAACCTGTACAGAGAAAAATGAAGGGTAATCTATACGACATAACTCTGATAGTCAGCTTGACATTTTTGAGCTGAAACTTTGTTATATTTGTGAGTGAAGTTTATCATTCAGAGCGTCAAGCTTACTATTTCAGAAGAATATCTTATAAATCGCCATTTAGATAGTCAATTGTCCCTCCGTTTTTCGCCGCATAAAGAACTGTAGGTCACCAGGTTTCACGAAAATAGGTTGATTTCTCGATTTTTGTGTCCGCCATATCCGATACGCCATTTTGAATTTCTATATTCTTTTAATTTCACATTTTGCATCTGAGAGAGCTTCCAAATGTATAAAATTATAACAGATACCAATCTATTCATTTATAGTGCGCTTCTAGATGCCAGTAACAATGCTGACTATGCCTACTTGGAATTTGACGAAACATGTTATCATTAAAACTGAGCTAAAAACAGACTAAACCGAATCTACATACAATCTATATACCATTTTTCAGAGGAAGAATTCACCTTTACAGTGCAGGTGCAAAGAAAACGAAAATATCTCCTTTTTTCACAGAAGTTATGGATACTTAAATGCGTTTCTGGTAACTGTAGTTACCAGTAGGCGTTAAAGGGTTAAAAGATGGGAAAATTCATAACATCCTCGTACCTTTCCGCGGATAATTCTCAAGCTCTCGTCGAATTCAGTCCGACGCGATTTTACGTTTGATTAGACAAAGTCAATCGCAGGCTTCACGGTGCTTAACACGACGCGCGACACTAAGCGGCACCGACGCCGACACCGAGATTTCACGCAACGCTTCTTAATCGCTACTGTTGACACAGAACGGTCTCTACATCACCTCCGTGTTTTACAGGGTCTACGCAATCGATCTTGTCGACGCTAATGCCGGCTAACGTAATAACAAGGCATATTGAAATCACCATCGATGAGACTCGAATGCGTTTCATTGCGTTAGAGGAAACCAAGTGGGGGAGCTTCATAAAGTCAAGCGCATTTTGTCCGATTAATGCGGGCGTACTTATGTGAGGATAATCGCGTTATGCGCGGTAATCAGCTATCATTGTAGTGCCTATGCAGCGGCGCGCTGTTAGTTATAATACGGTGCCCTTTTGCTAATATATACATTATATACAGTCTAATACAATCAACGGGTGTATGAGCGAAATTTACAACGAGATGACGATGATGACGACATGACGATGATGACATTACGATATTTGCCGCGTTACGACAGCCATTTACAAAACACGCTACACTCGCTCACATATACGCGCGCACACGCACACACACATACGTGCGTACATACAAATACACGTACATATCCCACCCCAAGCGACGCGACGTATTAATACTTCTCGATGGCGTTCCGTTTACGTACGTGTCGCGTCGAACAAGCAATCGAATGGTGCTTTTACCTTATTCGGTGTCGTTGCTTGTTGCTGCGGCGAACAGCTGGTGCTGTGTATAGTCGGCTGATTGGTCGTTGCCGGCACGATGCCCTGATGATTCAGATGGCTCAGCTGATTCAGCTGGGTGAGCTGCTGCGGTTGCTGCACCGGATTCTGGGTGTTGGCCTGCAGCTGTTGATGATGCGACTGATGCGCGGGATGAGTCGTCTGATGATGCGTCGCGGGGAAGGTGGGTACCGTGAACGGGACGAACAGCATCGGGCTGCCGAGGATGTGCGCACCACCTCCACCCAATGCCCCCGTCTCCTCCCTACACCTTTTTCGTGCGTTTTTGGTTTTGGGTAACTCTTTCTACTCCATCAACCGTGTTTTTTTGTCTTTACTTTTTTTTTGTTTTCTTAATTTCGACGTGCTCTCTACTACGTATATCGTTATACTGTTTGCTTTTGCTTTTTGTGTTTCTTTTTATTTATTATTATTTTTGTCGTGTAACCGCCTCGAGACGACGACGACGAGCAGAGTAGAAGCGTAGCAGTAGCACTAGTGGTAGTAGTAGTAGTAGTAGTAGTAGTAGTAGTAGTAGTAGTGGTAGTAGTAGTAGTAGTAGTACAGAAGTAGTGGTAGTGGTACTAGTAGTGGTAGTAGTTGGGGGTAGTAATATATATATATATATATATGTATATATATATACACGTGTCGAAGTGAAGCTACAATGTATGTTTAATGATTTATCATTACCTGCACTCCTGCCCCAGCCCCTGGTGCTGGGGGTGGGCGTAGGGGGCGGCTCGGACGGAGGTGGTGGACGCCACCCTCGCTACCCTCAGCGATAGACCGCCCCGCTGACTGGTAAGCTGGACCGAAGCTGGCTGGTGATTGCTATGCACGCAGCAACAGGCACGGCAGCCGATCGGCTGTTGCTGATTCGGGATAGCCTGGAGGTGATGAGTTAGGGGGCCCCTGGGCCCCGTGGAGGAGGGAGAACACGGGTACACCCCAACCAGGCAACCCACCACCGCAGCCCCGGGGCCCGGTGCGCTCGGTGCCAAGGCGCCTGTGGACGAGGCCACCCCAAGCTCGCTGGCTCTCCGGCAACCACTGCACCACTGCGCCCACCCTCCTTGTTGGGGGGCCTGTTGATACGTCCTGTTGACGCCGATCGTTGAGCCGGGCTGAACGACCTCAACCTGGGCCTCTTTGAGCGAACGATTGCCTGCGGGCGGGATTTTGCTACCTTGCTGTTTACTCGGGGTGATTGACTCCTGACTTGCGCGTGGCTAACGCTGACGCTTGATCCGCGCCAAATCTTCTCCGATCAGACGATGACGATCGACGGAAAAATCCCGAAGCGCTTCACTTCGACCTTATCTCTCGGCTGCGCGTGTATGTTCGTGCGTATGCGTGTGCGTGTTGTCGCGACGACGAGACTGACGTACGCTGACGTGCGCGCGGCGGGTTGTTGACTCGAATCGAAAGAGTCGCCGGGAGATCGCACAGTCCTTGCTCTAGGCCGGCTGTTTGCGCAGGGGAATGTATTCCGACGAGTTGAGTCCAGCCGTTTGGATGCTTCGAGTCTGCTGCCTCGAGATCTGTTCTAGCGCCGCGTTCCGTTAACACTGATCACGCTGTTCGTCGCTATCGGGGCAGAACGTGTGTCTTCGAAGGTCTGAAACAGTTTCGCGCTTCTGTCGCGAATTCCTGGGAGATCCTCTTGAGAACGACGCTCGGTCCTGTCGAATTCCGCTTCTTATGGAGTGTGTTTACCGTATACTACTCTTGGCGCAGTCGACGCTCACTTCACGGCCACGTGGTCGACTTGGGTGAGCTTCCGTGTGTCTGTGTCTTCGAGTGTGCCGCTACGAGTGTGCGTGTGTGTGTGTGTGTGTGTGTGTGTGTGAGAGTTGCAGGTTGCAGGTTGCTTGTTCTCTACGTGCGAAATACGTCCCCGTGAATTAGAAAAGCCCGCGACAGCCCAGTAGCCGTTGAAAAATCTAATCCTCTCTCTTGGCCGAACGAGGTACTCAAGAACAAATCATCGCACGGGCGGCTACTAAGTGGCAAATTAGCGATAACAACGTGCTTCAGGATTCAACAAACACACGAATGATCGTCACGTCGCTCGCGATGCACAACAGCTGAACACGCCTCATCGCATCGTATAAATCGACAAAGTGACGGTATCTTCCTCGCAGTTGGCAGAGCATGTGTCAGCTTCACCCTCCGCGATCTGTAACGGATGTCGGGCAGTCCTGTGTCACTCGATTCGACGATACAAGTCATAAAACGTGTGTTCCCGCTTTACAGTCGGATATACCGATGCGCGCGCGCGCGCGTCTGTGTGTGTGTGTGTGTGTGTGTGTGCTACCGTGCCTCGCGTATACCGTATATAATTTACACAACTGCGTACTCGCTTCAATCTATTGACATCTTCCAGTTGACGAACAGACCACGGTGAACAACACTTGCGGTCGTACACGTCGCACAGCCAGGTTTCCGTTTGTAACGTCGCGTTGAAGGGAGAGACACGTCGAAGACGTTCGCGTTACACGCACACAACTGGAGGAGAAACGACAATCACTCAATCGTTCCAGCAACACCTTCCCCGTATCCTTCCTAAGCCCTGTCCAGAGAGTATCCTTCGGATGTGTGATAGATAAAGATCGTAGAAATCCGGTCGAACGTTACTGTCGCGCAAACGACATGGAAAAAAATAAAAAGTGGCGGTTACTTCCGATCTTTGTACGAGGATTAACACCCTTAATTGCGGCGGCCTGCTCTCTCTCTCTCTCTCTCTCTCTCTCTCTTTTCTCGCGCGCCTTCTCTCTCGCTCTCTCTCTCTCTCTCTACCTCTCCTTCACACGGGTAAATCAAACAAAGCGGCCGGTCCTCGCGATCGTACAAATGAGGTGAAAGACACGACGGGTGGAAAAAGAGGGAACCTAACCCGTAATGTTGGAAGGTCGCTCGCCGACTGACTAGCACTTCCGCTCAGGCTGTTGTGCGATTCAGAGTGGGGGATGCTTCGTTGGGTTGTTGTGTGTAGGGGTTGGTGGCGGTGGGTCGACTCGTCGGTTGGTTGGTTGGGGTGGTTGTGTGTGCTTCGCTCGTGCTGTGCGCGGGAAACCAGGGGCTTTCAAGCCTCCAGGATCCGTGCGGCCCGGCGAAATAGCGAGCAGTTTCACGTGGCTCGCACCAGCTTGAGTTCAACTACTTTCACCTTGCGTCACTCGTCGTCAGCGTGTCGCGCGGCCCCGAGTTGTCGCGGAAGCTTGACGCAGCGGACGTCGAGTGTGGTGAGCACCGAGAGTAGCTGGGTCGTCGGCTCTCTCCGGAATAGTTGATATTCGCGCGTTCGCGAGCTGACGATCGCGAGCGCGTCCGGCCACGACTTTCCGGTCACTTTTCACTCGCGAAGGAAGGCTGGATTCGTCGGCGGACTCCGTCGCTCTGCCGTGCGCTCGGAAATGTCGTGTCGCGGGCAAGATGTACGATCGATGGATAATCAAGGCTAAGGGACGGGACACGATTCGGTGAGTAAATGGATTAAACGGCGAGAGAAGAAGTCGGGGATGTGCGAGACAGACTGCGTGGGGTACCAGGTGCGCGCTTATCCTGTCAATCGAATTATCCGGGGGATTGTCGCAGCTGCTTCAAAACATCCTTTTATCTCGACAGAGATGCGCGCCAGATATCAGTCAGGGTCTGTCGTTGAGTTTCCACCTATGTATCGCGATACGAATCGGGCGATACTCTGCGGGCTATCGGGACTCTTCAGCGAGCAGAGCCGTTTTGCGCCGAATTCCACGGTTTACTCGAGCGAGACGAGCTTCTCGCTTCGTCAACAGATCGACGGATAATTGTGCCAATTGGCCGTACGCGTCCTGCTGATATAATCGTTATCACTGGAATCCTCGCAAATCCTCGCACTCCTCGCTAGGCGCTACACCTCGGGGATGCTCGGATCGCCGACGGACACGAGCACTATTCACTCCTTGGGCTGCTCCCGAGCGGATGGCGCCTGTTCGAAGAACGATTTCACGTCGCCGCGCACCGGTACGCCGCGCACTCGAAGCATACGCACTCGTAGCACAACTGTCACAATTGCCTCGTCGAACTCGTCGTCGTCGAACTTGTCACACTGCCGAACGAAGAACGTCACTCCCGCGACACGCGGAATCGCCGTCGAACGCGAGGCGCCGGAGAACGGAAAGGGGGTACCGCGCGTTCGTCGTAAGGGTGCTTATTTGTACGCGTGCGTCCCGCTGCTGTTTGTGTTTATGCGGCCGGCGAGTCGTGTGTAGGTGTGTTGGTGCAACGTTGGTGAGGGGTGGAATAAGTGTGTCTCGGCGCGAGTTACAAGCGACGGATAAAAAATGATAATGGCGGATGACACGGACAGGCGGGGACACGGGGGACTGGTGTGACGCGGTGTCTGGTAGCCTAGTGGTGTAATGGGCTATGGATTTGGTGGAGCGCTGATCCTGCACGTAGGTAGGCAGCGTGGAGACAAGAACCCTGTATCGCAATGTATCGCGGCGGCGGTGGCGACGACGGCGGCGGCAGCGGCGGCGGCGGTAACTGGAGGGGTGGTTCGTCAGGCTGGAGGGGCGAGTGGGTGGCAAAGGGTGGGAGTCTGGCTCGTTCCTTCGTTCGTTTCGAGGTGGTGGAAGAGAGGGTAGGTCAGACGATCCGGAGACCGAGGGCGCGCAGAGCGCCGCTCTCTCCTCGAGAGGCGTGCGGGAAAGCGCGACCGTTGGCCGTTGCTCTCCTCGCCGCTCTCTCTCTCTCTCTCTCTCTCGCTCTCTCGCTCTCTCTCTCTCTCTCTCTCTCGCTCTCTCTCGCGTTCATCTCGTAGAAATCTGCTGTTTTCTCGAGCTTTCTTGTCTCTTCCGAACATGGCACAGATTCCCGATGGCCCCTAAGAATTGTCCCTTGTCATGTTAAATCCCCGCTGCGTCGTGAAGAATAGATAATTATTGCGCAATATTCTCGCCGCGACCACCCTTCATCTCGCGCGGCGTTTCAAGTTGAAAATTCAACCGAGAACTCTTATTCCCTGCTCGACGAATAATTGCGCGCACGACCGTATGTACGCGTGCGACTACCGCGTGTAGAAAAATACTCTCACCGTGTGCCATTGTATGCCGAGAGATTGAACGATGTAGCTGGAAGATAAAACTCAGAAGCCACCAACACACATGCACACACACACACACACACACACACACGCACACACATGCGCATACACATGGTTCGTTGCGTTGGGGCTCCCTTGTAATTTACGCTTTGGCGCTTTAACGTCGCTAATGAGAGGTTCTCTGCCGCAAGAAACGGTGCTTCAAACTGTCAAGACCGCGAGTGAAGTTCGTCAAGCTTTCGCGAAAATGTGTCCGAGGGTATCTCTGAATATTTCCCCCCCCCTCCCCCCTCGCTCCTCCCGCCACTCTTGAACATTTTCCGCCACTCTGTGTGTTAGTTCACTAAGAGAAGGGTGCAACCAAAGGCATGCGGTTAGCGCGCCGATGAATCGATCAGCACTGGTCATTTGGCTCCCTTTGTCGCACGTGTTAATTAAAAATTGCTGGCGGTTATCGTCGTGGAAGGAATCACGCACGGGTCTGTAATTAATTCGTCGATAAATTCCCATCAACCAGCCAGCCGAGGCGGTCTCGCACGGCGCCTTTTTAGCCGCGCGCCGTGCTTTTCGGGCAATTTCGTCCTTTCGAAACTAATGATCGCTGAACCTCCGCCGAGCCTTTTTATTTCCCGTATTTCCTGTATCTTTCCCCCCCCCCCCCCGCGCGAGAACGTTTATAAGCCATTCGCATTCACGGCCGAGAGATAGCTCTGTTCCGGCTAACTGCCGTGACACAAAAACGAGCGAGTCCCGTCGGGCCGGCGGCGGCGGCGGCGGCGGCGGCGCGCTGAAGAAGAGAGGCACCGGCCGGCTAGCGGAGCGGCCGATGACAAAGTTGATAATAGTGAGGACTTTAAATGCGATTTGTGTGACTCATCTATAATTCACGGCGCTCCGCGGTCGGCGCTTTTCCATCGGGGGGTCGCCATCAACGAGCAGCCTCGCGAGCACGACAGATACGGTATACAACATTGCGCCCAGGAAATTTCGTATTTTCGCGGCTAATGACTGAGGAACGAGACGGTAATGTATTCTATGCGGAACATCTACTATGCGCTCCCCATTAGCATTTGTAATGCGCATCTACCCCTAACTTGGGGCGCAAGCGTTGACGCTCGGCGCAAACCCATCAACGTACCATTTATAGCGCCGTTTCGTGCCCGCGTACGCGGAGAAAAGAGTTTACTACTCGTTGCTGGTGAATATGTTAATAGGATGCACCCGCGCCGTGCCGCGCTGCGCCGCGCCGCGCGCGCCCTCGCGCGCTCGCGCTCGCGCGAGCTCCGCGTTATAACGCAGCCGCCGGAAGATTACGGTCGCCCGGCGTCGAGGTATTTTTCCGCGGCTCCCAAAGGCCGCGATAATACGTGGAAGTAGACGCGCCATTAAGGGGCCTTTCACATGTCACGCGAGCGAGAGCCGCGCGCGCGCGCGCGCGCGTCGTTACATCCGCTTGTCGATGCTTTGTGATTTTTCCCGTTTTCTTTTTCCCGTCGCGCCAAAGCGCGATTCGCACTTATCGCTTTCGCATGAAGCACCCTTATCGACTTGCCGGGCTTTGCGGATAATCGAGGCCGACGTATCGCGTGCGTCTGCCGCGCACGGCAACACGTGTGTGTTTACACGTCGCGCATTGCCGAGTTATTTTTTTTCAAGCATAATCGATACACCGGCAGCGACACAATTCGAGACTGCTGAATATTATTACTCGCGTATCGCGCAGGGGGAGGGGCGAGAAGAGAGGCGCGCTGCTTATCCGCGAGTTTGTCTTTTTCCTGTTTTCACGTTGCGCACAGCCGCGGGAGGATCTGTCGCAATATTTCAACAGCCGTTTACGGGGATGTTAATTTATATCGGGGACTTGGCACTTTCTCTCGCATTGTCTCGTCGCATCGTATGAGAAATTATCGGCAACGATAATCCCTTGTAATCGCGATTACACGTCGCGCACAAATCATCGCCTGTCGCGCGCGCGCGCGTGCGCTGTGTGTACACAATAATTCTCATCCGCGGAGCTTTCGCGTGTCGATAGTCGACGGTGTTTCGCGACGACGACGACGACGACGACGACGACGACGACGACGACGACATGTTTCGCAACGTTTGTCGCCGTAAAACCCACGAAGAAACCCACGCGCCGGCAAACAACGCGGCTCCCGGCCGGCGATAATGCTGTAATTAACACTCGAGCTGCTGCGCCACGCCGTGCAATCTCGCCGGATGCGTCGCGCGCAGGGGAAGGGGGGAAGGGCCCACCGAGCCGAGCTGTAATACCCATGAAAAACGCTTATTCAGAGCCGAAACGACCGGCGAGACCTAGGAACGTCCTGGAGCGCAGAGGTGGTGACAGCAAAGGCGGCGGGCGCAATAACGGATAAGCGGAGCAATCGGACAGTTTGCGAGCGGCCTCTGCTCCTGATGGGCCGGACGATGGAGAGACACGGCTGTAGGGAGTCGGTATATTTATAATGACCCTATATGTATGCAAATGGCTGCATATCGTACGCTCCTATTCCGCCCGCACCGCTCGCATCGCTCGCGTTCGCACGTGAGAGAGGGTCCGGGTCCACGTGTCCTCTCTCTCTCTCTCTCTCTCTCTCGCTCTCTCGCTCTTCTCCCTCTCTCTCTCTCTCTCTCTCTCTCTTTCTCTCTCCGTTTTCCAA